CCCCAAAACCCCAAAACCCCAAAACCCCAAAACCCCTTTTCCTTCGGTGAGTTCTTATAAACTAAAAATTAATTTTATAACATGGCTTTTTGGAGGTTAAAAAATAAGAAAACTATGGATAAAGGAAAGGACAGTGATCGGTCTAACCCATCTATCAACCTACAGACTGTGCCAACTTACAACGAGACCGAGTTTGGTAGTTCGCCAGTGACTGTGAACAACCAGGTATGCTATAATTCCAGACTGTTAAATTTTATCTCTTTTGCTATAGAAGCCTAATTTGAATATGACCATATAAAATGTCTGAATTCATACATTAACGAATTAGTAAAGGAAAATGAAAGGCTTCAAAACATAGTTGATGACACTAAGACCACTAATCTTCTCAACAAGCAGATGCTAAATGACTACGCACAAATTATCAATGAAAAGGAGGAAGAAAACATAAAGTTACAGAACCAATTAGAGAATTGTCAGAAAGAAATACAAGAGCTCAAAGAAAATCAAGAGATAAGTAATGACAAGCTTTCTGATAGAGAAAGTCAGAAAGAGAATCAAGTAGAAAGGTTTTCCCAGCTCTTCAATTCGGATGATTTTCACAATGCTGAGAAACAAAAGATCTTGATCAAAAAGCTTATGGGTAAGTTGGCACTGTCAGCACTCACTATCTATAACCCTATTATCTCTCTACATATTTGATAAGTCCAGGTTAGGATCATTTAAACTCTCAGCTTGGTTCGATAGATCTGACGATATTTTAAGACTGAAATCCTGACATTTTTGCAAGCCTAAGCACCAACCCTAATCTTTGATTTAGAAATGATGAAGTTCTACGAGTCTTCAGATGATGAACCTGAACTCACGTCTAAATAGGTTTCCCAGCTTATTGAAAGGTGAGTTAAGTTTGATTTTAAGTAAAAAGTTCTAAAATGTCTAAAAAATTGAGTTTCTGGAGAAATCCAAACGTAGTGTAGAAATTCTAACAGATAGAACCATGTTTGGCAAACCTAAACAGCCCTCAGCAGCTGAAAAATCCATAAGTTTATTTATTAAACCCTGGATGAAGGAGCTAATGGACATGTCTATACAGATCAGTATCCATACTTAGTATCATCGATTCCTAAATTGTACACATTAAGAGGCTTCTATCTTTAAATAATTTTGAAGAGGAATATCAATCATAACAATTATCTAGATGAAGATCAGCAAGATGATCCTTTCAGCTCTAACGCTTTGGATAACTCTGAGGAATCTCAGGATGACACAAACTCTCAGCCAGAGGATCCTTTTGGTAATAATGCATGTTTGGAGGAAGAAACAGATGAGGTCTAGAACCTTAGGTTCACTCTAGAAACTTCTAATTATACTTGAGTAAGCTACCCAATAATGTTACTTGGTAATCAAATTTGAACAATTATCCAATAAATAGACTGACTATTCTTTGGTTTTATTCACATAAATAGGCATTTAGTGACTTCTCAAGCAATTTTAGATGAATCCTAAAGGGAATATAGCTAATTTATCATATAGGCTGCCAAGAATAAAGATACTGAGTCATCTGCGAAGAAGCCCATTGAGAGACACTTTAGTACAGGTAGAGAAATTGGAAGTTTTTCTAATTAAATTTATCGAAAATTCTATTTTTCGAACCAAAAAAGGGGTTTTGGGGTTTTGGGGTTTTGGGG